TATATATATATATATATATATATATATATATATATATATATATATATATATATATATATATACACATATATATAATATTTCCTCTAGGTGGAGTTCTTATTTGTCATTTCTGCGATTAAATTTATCTTCAAAAAATTGTACTTAATTATTTGTTTACTAATTCGAATTACTAATGTTTATGACACTTGTGCTGAACTCTGTTTTATCGATAAAAGTATTTCTAAGTCTTATAAGCTTTTTTATCGGCTTACAGTCATTACAGCTTACATTTAGAAACATTCTCAACGACAAAAGAGACTTTAGAATAACGCCCTATATCTCGTTTTTTCGATCATGAAGAGTAAAATAGAGGAGTAAGTCCATGAACCTACTTTAGAGCCGACCCTGCTTGGCCCGAACCGGAACCTCCGGTGCTGCATCTGCGTCCAGACCCGCATCCCCGGATTTGCCTGCTTCAAAAGCCTGCATTCTCCGGGCTTGCTTTTGCCGTGTGGCCGCAAACCCTCGTCAGATCTGAAACAAAAAAGAGTTTCCCCGATTAGTTACAGCGACAGGACAGTTTCTCGGCTTAACTCTCGAGATATCCTCCGTGAGAAGAACCAAGCGTCGCTTATTTCCGTTCGCAATAAACAATCGATTTTTCTCGCCAAGATTTAATCATTTTGACGCAGGAGCCCCGGTAATCGGCGCGTTTCGAAGCCTCACCTTGTGTTGACAGTGAAAATAATCCTTCTAATCCAATCCGATGTTAAGCTCTCGCGAATTATGTGGGGATCAACGTTTAATTAAATGCGAAAAGGAGTCCCTTCACTTTTTCCGCCAGAGGACTGTCGCTCGTTACGCAGATTGCGCCTATTACAAGACTATACTATATATAAAAGCCATCCAATTTTCACGGGAATATCGACTTGAACTTCTTGCGAACGGCCGCGACTGATACATCCATCTTCTTCGCAGTGATCAAAAATTCATCCCGACCGACGAAATAATATCGCACATTTCTCTGAAATTCATTTCTCTGAAATTCATTTCTTTGAAATTCATTTCTCTGAAATTCATTTCTCTGAAATTCATTTCTCTCTCGCATTTTCCGACACCGAAAATGATGGAGAGTAAAAAGGAAGGGGGAAGGCAAAGAGAGAGAAAGAAAAAAGAAGAAACAGAGGGAAAGAGAGAGAGAGAGAGGGATAGGGAGAGGGAGGGAGAGAGAGAGAGACCGCTCTCCATAATTAAGTTAACGTATTCACATCTCACTTGATTGGATGCACCTATCCCGAGATGCAATTTTCGACATTGCCGCACTGCACGTGCATTATCGTTCAACATACACACCCGTGTTCGCCCTCGCGCGTGTGCGCACCTGTGTGCACGATAGCGGAATGCTCCACGTCCTATCGCACGCGTGTGAGATGCTTTGCTCATCTTCTCATGCATATTAATATTATTCGATGTGAACCGCGAATGCTCGAGGTTCCTAAATCACTGGGCCTGCGCTTGAGAAGCGCAAAGCCGTAAATAAACGAAATTAACGTCCCCATTATCGACTATGCTGCGGCGCGAATAAATTTCCCGACTGCATCGAAGGGGAACGCGACTCGAGAGAGGAGCGGGAGTGGGGAAGCGGAGGGGAGGAGAAGGAGGGAGGAAGTATGCTTCGGTTCCTAGTCGTCGTCGTCGTCGTTTGTTGGGGGAGGGAAAAAGAACAAAAGGAAGGAAGAAATGGTATACAGCGTCGGCGGAAACAACCGACAGCGACGGCGTCGTCGTCGTCGTCGTCGTCGTCGTCGTCGTCGTTGTTGTCGTCGTCATCGTCTTCGTCGTCGTTGTCGTCGTCATCGTTGCTGTTGTTGTTGTTGTCGTAGTCGTTGTCCGTGTCGCGCGAATATTCCGCGCGCGCATTAGAAACAACGAATGTTTAATCCGTTTATCGGCGAAATAACGCGTTGTGACAGAAAACTTTTAAGTAGGTCTTATAATTTGCATATTCGCAGGCGGCGGCCCCGTTGTGAATAAAATTATACATTGATCTGCACGAATACGCACGCATATTTGCGAGAGACGCGTATTTGCATCCCTGAATCTGCCTCGCGCATCCCGACGCTGATTTCCACAGTTTGCATGCATATGTATTATTATTATAGGATGTGTAAACCGCGTCAGTATCTCTGTTACATCAACGACGCAAAAGTCCGGTTGCATGTTACGCGACGTACGGAGGAAATTCGTTCTCATTGATTACGCTAATTGGTCGGAGCGCAAAACTTGCTCGAGCGACTCTTTTCGTCTCAGCGATTAAAATATTCGATTTAGATCGAATAAGTAAGAGAAGAGACATCGAAATCCGGGAAATTTGATGGGGAATATCCAGCTAGTGTGAAAACGTCGCAATACAGTACAGTATGGTAGGTGACGGTTTAAAAAGCGTCAGTCAGCAGTAATTGCTAATTAAAAATTCCTACCTGTATTCGCGGCTACTTCTCGCAATTATCAGGGCTTCACTTCGCGAACCGGTAAGTTATTTAGCATGGCAATTAAAAGTGGAGATCGGCCTGAACATGCATCCCGTATTGACTTATTTTTAATCGAGGGTGATCGAACTCGTTGCGGATTTTACCTATAACGTGTAGATCAATTATTTCGTAATGAGAGAGGCCCGACAGGCGGGAAGCGCGCCGCTCATCAATTTAGATGAAATTTTACGGACATGCCGGCGTTGACCTAGGGAGCATAAAAACCTGCGCCCTTCCTTCGTGGCAAATACCTTTTTAAAGGCACGACGTCTAAATTCTAAGTTAAAGAGGGGCTCTCCTCGCCCATCCTCTCGTGCATAACTTTCGACCATTTCAGTAACAACGCGATGTCGTTGTGCGCGTCTACTCTATCCTGAACAAAAGCGTGTATCTGCGTTTCTCTTGTGATGAAGCTGTACACAACTCGAAAATTACAAGCGTTCCCGAGGATTTTGTTACTTTATTATATAATTTATTATGAATTTAAAGAGAGAAAGAGAGAGAGAGAGAGAGAAAGACCACGTATAAAAATTTACTAGTTTTCTTATTAAAAATTTAATCACCGCCTTTAATTACCGCGCGTATTCGTAAAGTTTTGCTCGCGTTACCCGACATGAAATTTTGATTCTACATTAATCCTGTATGCAAATACTATCAAACTTGAAGGATCATTGAAGAATTTCGAGATACAACACTACACGCGCTATTGTTTTATCTTGACACTACGAACGTTTATTTACTGTCGTTTCTTTTCTGTCTTGAAGAAACGTTTATTTCAGAATGATTTGATATTTGATTGTTTCACGCACGCATGCACGCATGCACGCACGCACAATATTCTTGCCGCATTTAATCTTTATTCTGAATTTCCATTACTAATATATCAATTATACAACTCGCTCCGTTGTAGATAGAATGTGAACAGAATATGAGATGAGCGAATGAATAATTAACATGGGTTACTTTATTTTCATAGTTTATTTATTTTTTTTTTTATTAGTGCTGCATATTTCGCTGAGATGTAAATAATCAAAAGAGATGAGAAGAAAAAAGTTCTAAGACCAAAATAGCCATTGTGCACAAATTAAGAAATAAATTTTTAGATTTGATACAGTATCAAGGCAAACGCAAAGTAAAAAAGATTGCTGCCAAATTCGAGATGCAACTCGTGGCTCAAGGAGCATTATTGGAAAAACAGATGTCAACACACGAGACTTGAGCCAGTATTCGTAAATTATTTACGCTTTTTGAAATCATAGTTAATTAATAATGCATATTCGTAAGTTGTTTTGCCGTTATTTAGATTGATACTTCTCGTATGAAATAGATTTTACAGGTTAACGCATAATAAATTCATAATTATTTATCGAATAATGACGAACTATACATGCTAATTTTAAAATAAATTCTATATTTTGACTCGAAATCTTGAATTATAATATCACTGATAAATTTTTCAAACGTGTATTAAAATCAGAAGCATTCCGTATAATAAATTATTTCACACACCTGGAAATATTGCTGCCCACATCCAGCGTTCTGCATCCTCCATGGTGGCTTCCTGCTCCTGGCTGCTTTGTGGTTCCAGACGGAACCGTTCTCAACGGCACTGATACGATTCGATTAGAGAAACGTGTGTTAACTAACGCGCGCGATGCCCCGACGGAAGCCCCCGATTAACTATTTCGGCGGAAGATTTTAATTGTTTGACAGGAATCTCGAATATACATGTACACGACACGGCGGTTACTTGTCGACTAATCGTCGATTGATGTTTGGCAAAACACAAGTGCGAGACGTGTGAGATTCAAAACAGTCAGCACCGTGAGGAAGATTAATGTCAACAACAAGCAACCGCGCGAACGGCTGTTACCTTACCCAACCAATCAATAACAAATGTATATATCGGGTGATCGAAAAATCACGACAATCAACATTTTCCAAATATTCTGGATATTCGGGATGCTCAAATTACCGAATTATCAGAAAACGATTGCACGCACGATACGTATCGAAAGTGTCGCTCGTAGCAGTCGACGATTGCAGTTAACCTGCGATCATTAATTAACGTTGTTTCCGACTTATAAACACATCAAATACATTGTTGAAACATAGCTTAAACTTAAATCTAAGTTTGAACTACTATTGAAAAATCGATTCTAAATCATTCTCGTGTACTTCTTAAACCCGAATAGTTACATAATGAATACATTGCTCATTACAGTAAATTTTTCAATAACAATTTAAACTTAGATTTAAATTTAAAATCTGTTTAACTATACCAATGCATCGTTGGAATACAGTTTAAGCCTAAATCTCAATTTAAACTATTATTGAAAAAACCTAAAAAGTTCTCGGACAAATAATTATTCAAGCTTGAACGACGGTAAATATATAACTATCTAAAATAAAAAAGAATAACCTGTATAATATTATATCTTAAGGTCCTTTACAGACTTTCAAATTTGACGGAATTTTAAGAATTGACAGAAAACTTCTACACGAATAACAACTTTGGCTCAACTGTTATCAGTTTTTATCAGCTCTCGAACAACAAAAAAGAAATAGCATGATCTATATGTGTGTCTGTCTGTCTATTTACATTCTATATCAGGTTTACATTCGTAAACTTGATTTAACCGATTTAAATTTTTGATTTAAGTTACTCTCCAGGAAAATACAAAATAGGACACCTGGACTTATTCTCCTGATCTCATCCTATTGACACTTTGTAATAACCCGAGCAAGTTTAGAAGAGCTAAAAATAAATTATAGTAGCTAAAAATTTAAGAAAGTAAAAAAATAAACTGACGTCTGTCAATTATTTAATTTTCTGCAGATATTGGTGAGGATAAATTCGTCTTGCTTAAGGACGACTGAATACGTAAGAGGATTAGCACACGTTTCATGTCCGAAGTTCTTTTTATACAGTTTTAAGTTATTTAGAGAACATCCTATAACAGTTCGAGTTTTATTCGAGAAATTGCCCTTTTACAAACGTACGTTTCATACTAACCGTCCTAACCGTTAAGAAGTTTCCAGCGGCAATTTTGCACGTCAATTAAGTCGCTTCAAGCGTAACGGGCGCAAAACGAAAACACAGATCGCCCGATGTAATTTACTTGCGGATTATTCCCGTGAGCGCGATAAGATCGACCTTTCCCCGCCATCGTGAAGAGAACACTTTTAATACCCCTTTAAATCGTCGAATTTCGAAATAACGGGCTTGAAAAATTAGCCAAATATATTGTTTATTTCTGTTCGCGGGATCGACGTCGAAATACACAACGTGTGCGCGCGCACACACATACATTTCGTGTATTTTCGCTCTTATCTCCCGATCAAATTTCCTGCGGTGCTCCTGCACTCACGTTTCAGATAGTTCCTCAATCAATATAAATGCACCAAAGGAAAGCAAGATATTTATTTACGGCAGTAGGCATAACGCGCGTGCACGCAATATATTCATTTTTATGCATGACTGTGACGTTCTATTTACGCGCAGCTATCGTGAAGAAATATTTCATCAAAACAGCACCGTTTTATCCGCACGACATTCTAAATACGATGAAAGCGTGAGACGCCAAAAGGGTTGATTAGCATGGAAATGGACTAAATGGAAATTAACAAATACGTCATTCAACGTCCACGGAGCGCCACCAACGTCGACTAATCAGCACCTGAGTCGAAATTTCAGACTTATTTTGGCCTTCTGAACTTTCTAACATCTGTATATTCTGAAGGATCAGTGTATGCGTGCATACACATGGATATTGAAGTTTTATTCTTAGCGCCTCGAAATGGTAGAAAACACAAAATGCCACTTGTAAATCTTAAAAGAAATCTCTCGGAAAAGTTAGTAGGTTAAATAATAACAAAAGAAATCGATATAAGTATCAAAATGAACGTTAAATGGAATATTTAGATCGAAAATAGCAATCAAGACTGCGACTCGGACAGCGATTCATTCGACTCATTCGTTATATCCAAATCGAAATTTTGATTCTACTATCGACCTCCGATACTCTGAAGCTTATATTAACCTTTGTTGATATTGTTACTATTTAACCTACTTCGCCAAGAAATCCTCTTTGGAATTTACAAGTGACATTTTGTGCGTTTTCATTTAAAGACGTCAAGTAAGATTTCAGTTCCTATATATATATATATATATATATATATATATATATATATATATATATGTATATATATATACATGCACTGATTCTTCGGAATGTACAGATAGAAAGTTCAGGTCGGAGATAGATCTGAAACGTTGTACACTCAGGTACAGTTAGGTGGCGTGACAAAGAACGCGCGAGCAATTTATTTCTCGCAGAGCATTGGCAAGGGTATTGACAAGCATTGAAAAATTCAAATCGTATTAACAGCGCGCCGCAAATAAAATTCATTCGTGGTATCTTTCCTACGACACCAGTTTCCTGCGGGAATCTTTCAACGGATGAATTATTCAAAGTGGAATGCTCCCTCAACGATACTACAAAACAAGAACGCGATCGCGAACTAAAGTACACGGTAGACACGAGCAGACGTGGATCGAGAATTTCGATGAGATTGACGACGGAACATGTGTGCGACCGCCGCAACGGCGGCTGACTATTTTCACAGCGAGTCCACTTACGGGCTCGGACGTGCAAGTGGTTTAAGAAATTGGCCTTGCAAGTTTTTCCGTCAAAGAACCGCGACGGATAATCCGAGTCGCTTTGGAGGACGATACGCGCTTGTCATACCGAGTGCCTTTGAAGTCTAATCTTAATTCAACGACAGATCCTTCAAGAGAAGAACGGCAAATGATGTTTTGTCGATTCCTCATCGCGCGCGAATCAACGGGCCAATTAAATTCCTAATGATATTATTACGTTTCAGAATATACACGTCGCATGTTTCGAGCAATTTTGAGTCGAAATTTTATTTCTACATTAGTCTCTGCAAATTCTATCGAACTTGAAAAATAAGTATAATTATAGTCGTAATAAGCATAATCATCATATTGTCACAAAAGTCGAAAAGTAAAACAGAAACATGATCGATAATCATTTTTTTTTTGCTTTCCAACTTTCGTGTGACAATATGATCATTATTTATTATTATATCTTTTTTGTTAAGAAGGTCCATAGCAAAAACTAGAAAATTCTACATATACATTGAGAAGAATATTAAAAAGAAATAAGAAATACTTATTCGATAGGTATCAATAACATATTTATTAAGTCTTTTATTCAAATAAAATAAACAATTGTTTTCATGAAAAGTTACGGTTCTAAGAAAATGTACATTTCTTCATCTGAACAAAACTTTTTTCTCAACGTAAAAACACTGCATATATTGTAAAGTATAAAAATATGTTATTATATGATATATATAGCATCTATTAAAAAAAATATATATGTATTGTTGTATATAAAAAAAAATATATATATATATATATATAAATTTATATTATATATATTATATTTTATATAAATAAATATATATTTAAAAAATTGTTTTTTGATATTATTTTCTATATTAAATATATAGTTTTTTCATAATAGAACCTTTTGCGCAACAGAAACTGATTGTGGACTTTTCGTTCATTTATTTAATATTAAATGTAAGCAGAATTTTTATATTTTTATTCAATATTAAACGTAAGCAGAACAACTCAGAAATAAGTTATTTACGTCTTAATAAAGAGAAAACAGCAATAAATAATTATTTTTAGCACCAAAAGGCAACGGACTGCATAATAATGTAAAAATCACGGAATTCATCATTTAAGTACGATGAAATTTGCGAGATTAATGTAGAATCAAAATATCGACACAGGGTGCTACGATGCAATACTTCCTTCATTTCTCATCGCCGCGTTTTACCTTCACGTGGAAGAAAATAATTGCTGTAATCTGAAGGATCTCCAACGCTCTCAGAAGAGAAAGAGTTGCTCGGGCAACTTGCGATTTCTTTTTCTAAGTTCAGACATAATCAGAAGCTCCGTTACTTAATGACGAAAGTTAAAAAGTTACGAACACCCAAGGCAGACGTAAGCTCGCATAATTTCATTAATGGGGCGAGCTCCTCTCGCCCTTCACGGAAACAACCTCTTTCCGGAGTGAACGGGCGTGAACGTCACGGATACATCGCGACAGTTACTGACGTGTGTAGCTTATGCATAATCATGTTTGTATTTGACAAAGTAGTTTTCGGAGACGAGTCGTGCCCGGGTCTACGTGGGAACGGTCGCGCGGAAATCTTGACGATATCAGTCACGGCTCCGCGCGAGAAGGAATAGGTAATCCAAATCGCTTTAGGGATCCCATGCAGTCAGGTGGACGATATATTCACGCTCTCGCAAACATTACCAAGGTCTCCCTCATGCCGAGGGGACAACTAAATCTCACGGCACGTAGCAGCGCACTTCTTTTTTATCGCCGGAATGTCCAGAGAAATTTGTCGGCCTTAAATACGGCCCGGAAAAATCGTCGAGTTTAAGCACGAGCTTGATAAATTACGTGTGCCCGTATAATACTGTCCCCGTCCAAATGCAGGCCAAGCGGAACACGCGAGAGACACGAAGCTGCGGTATTAACAACAACGTGGAAGCAAACGTGAAACGATCGGATATATTTATCGTGTGCTTCAGCAAACCGTCCTAAAACTCTTTAAAATTTCACTGAAAAAGGAATTTGGTTTCTAAAACTTGGTTAAAATGGGATCAATCAAATGTTTGGTAATTGCAATAAAAAAATGTAATTGAGATTATTTTGTTTTGTTTAGTGACTAAATAAATTACTGAGAAAGTAAGACAAAATCAAGTTTTTTGGTTGTAATATTACTGAACATTTGGTTGATCCCATTTTAACCAAATTTTGGTTTCATCAACTAAATCCTTTTTGAAGTATTGCACATTCAGTTCGTCTTGAAAGCGCTCTTTAAATTTCTTCACCGTTCACTTTTCAGACATTTTCACGTGCAGTAACCTGGTACGTGGCATTTTGCGCTCCGTGAGTCAAATACAATTAAGAACGTGGCATTTGTGATAATTGCGTTCGAGTCTTACGCAGAGTGTACATGCTCGCGAAGCTACGCGCTTGACAGCGCGAGTCTTGCAATAATTCTTGGAGATTTTTGCCGCGGCGAGCGCGCGATAATATCGAGAAATGAACTTTATCTTAACAATAAATGTTCGACTCGAATATCTCGGGGTCACGATGGCATGGAAAATCTCACTCGAAGCCGAAGCGAAGCACTTTTACGAGGTACTAAACGGCTGGCTGGTAGAAGGAATTCTGATATACCGCGGAATCGGCCTTCGTAATCCAAATCTCCTTAGAGAAACGAAATGGAACTTTCCATAAAATATATTTCCTTCCTGTGGAACATTCACCGTCGCGTCTTATATAACTCGCCATCGGTAAGTTTATACCGTCGCGCTAAGTCATCGCTAATCGTAATTGCCTGAAGTTATGGGTCATAAATTGAAATTAATTTGCGATAAACCGCCGGAGAATTGAAAAGCTGCGTTATCAGCTGCATGAAATTTGCCGCGCAGGTCTTATCAAATCAAATCAGCGGGACGTAAACAACCACTGTGAGTCGCGCTTTCGCGAGCAAAAATTCGGTTAAAAATCAAGCATACTTCCAGCGCCGACGAATGAGCGTATAAGTTATTGCTCGGTGTCTGAAACACGCAATTATTTCCGCGATGTTTTCCACCTGGAGCTGATTGCCGGGAACGTACAATCCGAGGTTTAATCCGCGGAGTTCCAC